TTAGTTCACATCAGGCAATTTTGGCAGAAATATCCCTGAGGTAGTGTGTCCTGCTAGGTGTCAAGTCAAAGGGTGAATGGGATTTGTTCCCACTAATATTAAGTAACAGCTCTATTGAGATAGAATTCACATACCACAAAACCCACCATTGGAAAGTGTGGCATTCAGTGTTTTTTGTATATCCAGTCATAGGGTCATCACCACAGTCAATTTAGAACATTTTCATCACCCAGAAGACCTCAGGCCCAATAGCAGGCACTCTCCATTTCCCCGTCCCTGTTCCTGGCCACCACCACTCCACTTCCTGCCAGTGTGTGTTTGCTTATTCTGGACATTTCATATAAATGGAGTCATACACTCAGTAGCATTTCTGTGTCTGGTTTCCTTGCTTGGCATAGTATTTATCGCCCATGGTGTGACATGTGCTTTGATCCTTTTTGTGTCTGAATAATATTCCATTGTATGGATATACCACATGTACTTGATCCATCCATCAGTTGATGGGCATTGGGGTTGTTTCCACTTTTTGGCTAGGATAAATATTGCTGCTGTGAACATTTATTTCTGTGTGGACCTATGTTTTTATTTTGTCAAGGGCCCCTGAGATCACTCCTAGGTTTAGCAATTCACTAGGAGGACTTGAGGACTCACCACAGTCCCACTCACAGCTAGGATTTGTTACCGTGAAAGAACACACCACAAAATGAGCCAAAGAAAATGTGCATGAAGGGCTGGGGTTGTGGCTCAGCGGTAGAGCGCTCGCCTAGCAGGTGCAAGGCCCTGGGTTCGATTCTGAGCACCACATAAAAATAAATAAAAATAAAGGTATTTAAAAAGAAAAAGAAAATGTGCGCGAGCGGATGTCTAGAAGAAACCAGGTACGGGCTCCAAGAGTCCCTTCCCAGGCACGGCACACAGCGTGCACTTAATCCCTGCATCATGAAGTCGTGACGCCGTGGATGGTGTTGTCTACCAGGCAAGCTCTTCAGAGACTCATTGCCCAGGGCTTTTGCTGGGGGCTGGTCCCGTAGGCACCCTCTGCCTGAAGTGTACTGAAATCCCAGCTCCCGCCAGGAAAGCAGATGCCTGGCATTAGCCCCGAGGTCTGTGCAGCCCGGCACCGCGAGCCTCCCTTATCAACTAGACGGCGCTGGGAACGCCCGCGGGATCCACTTTCCCAGGCAGCCCAGGCCCAGCCTTGCAAGCAGCCCTTTCTGAGCCACATCTCTCCCACTTGCTGCGTCGACTCTTCCCGGTGCAGGTATACGTTAGGATCGGCTTGGCCAGGTTCTCTGGTGACACCACATTTAACATTCCCCCCCAAGTGGCTGCAGCGTCTTTGTTCTCCACTGGCTATTTATACAGGTCCCCGGGGCCCCACATCCTGGCCGGCACCGTGGCTTGGCCATCTTTGTGAGTGAAACCATTCTAGCAGGTCTAATAGGTCTTTAAGTCAGCAATTTGCAAGCATTTAGAACAAAAAAATAATGATTCATAGAAGCCAAAATGATCTCTCTGAGAACAATCATGCTCGTCTAACCCCTTATTTTCTTTTTTTTTTTTAAGGCAATTTATTCCTTCTGTACGAGCTGTACTAGGGCAGGGTGTTTTTCTGTTCCAGCCTCGTCTTTCACAATATCTTCATGTACAAAAATGGAGAGCCGGGGGCTGCGCTGATCACTTGGCGGCTTCCTCATCTGTGGATGGATGACAGGCAGCTCCCGGAGCCGGGAGCGAGGCTCTTCTGCTGCCTCCTGGCTCCGTCCTCAGCCAGCTACAAATGCCTCTGTCCAAAACCTGGGGAGACACACGTGGCAGCCCGTCGGCTTTGCCAGTTACTCAAAGTAGGAAGACGCACATGTGTTGAGCAGTGAGATCTGGTTCCAGAAAGATCCTGGCAGCCCGGGTTGACAGGCAGATTCCAACAAGATGGATGGACTGGGGACAAATGGCAGGTCCGTGCCTGCAGGACCTGGTCCAGTGGTGACCGGGGCAAGCTCACACTTGGATGTCTGGCCCTTACCAAAAGCATCAGTTCAAGGAATGGGCGACAGAGTCGTGGGGCACCTGGAAGAGCATTTCAGAGGGCACCGTGGGAAGCGCGGGGGATTCAGAACTTCGCTGGGAGGGAAGCTGCCCGAGGGGCAGTGCGGTCCGCTGGCCAGAAGGACCCTGCAGGGACTCCAGAGTGGACTCCCCGAGGCTGAGGGTCTGCAGGGGGTGGCAGGGTGAGCCAGATTCAGGCTGATTAAGGAAGCATCCTGTGAAACTCTGCAGTGGCTTGGGCTGAGGTACCCCTGAACCTGCACCTGCCCCCTCCTGAGCCCATCTGTGGCTCACCAGCCTCTGCCCTCTGACTTCTCTTTCACCTGCTGGTGTCCTACCTGTGTCGTCCATGGTCTGCACCGAGTCTCCTGGCCGCAAGTGGAGCTCCAGAGCCAGCTGTCTCGTCCCTTCTTATATTCAGTTGACAAATATTTTAATGAGCACCTTCTATGAGCCGGCGGCTGGGTGAGTGGTAGGGTGCCCAGCGGTGAATACTGGCCAGGGATAAGGGACTGCGCGGCAGGACTGTGGGCGGGAGTGTGACTTGGGTGTGTCTGGGAACGGGGTCTCCCTGCAGATGTGCCCTGCAGTGAGACCTGAAGGAAGAGGAGCAGGTGGCAGCGGGGAAGAGAGCAGAAGCCGGGAGAGTGACCCCTTGGCTTCAGCCGGGGACCAGGCCCCTGGCAGCGCTTGGTGCAGGTGTGTTCGCAGGAGGGAGGAAGGCTACTGGCTGGAGGGCGAGGGGCTTTCTGTCCCCTGCTCATCCAGCACCTGGGTGGAGCCCCCTGGGTCCCAGCTGGGGCGTCGCTTGTGCTCTGAGGGCCTGTGGGTGACGCCTTCGGAATCCAGCCCCGGAGGCGCGTAGGATGGGCCCTGCCTTCGCTCCACCCCGTGGAGGTGGGTGACAGAGAGAATAGGACGCGTTCCAAACACCTCCACATCCCTGCAGTGACAGTGCCTTTGAGGCCCGTAGACACCGTGGCTCCTGTACTTGCTCTGCCTGTGTCCCTCCCTGTGAGGGGGCAGCTCCAGGTGAGGTCCCCCCACCGCTTCTGGGGCTTCTTCTCTGCTGTCATTTCTGTTTGAGGAGCTGCCGCTGCCCCTCCCCCACAGCCACTTGCCCCCCCCCCTCCCCACCTACTTCACAGGGGGGACCCCGATGAGAGAGGCCGAGGGAGGAGGCCAGGCCCCTCCAGCGCTCGTACCAGCAATTATTTGCCACCATTGCCAATTCAAGATAAGTAGAAAATGACGGCGGGGGAGAACCAGGCCCAGGGCAGTGCCAGGCGCCTGGCATGCGTCACCTGACATCTGCTGCACGGGCAGCCTCACGTTACCAAGCACCGAGGGGACCTGCGGACAAGGAGATGGAAGGGCTGGGTTCCAGCCACCTGGCTGCGCCGTTGTGACTGCTTTCCTCCGGGAGCCTCCGTTCCATCAGCTACGAGATGGGGAGGTGGCGCTGGAGTGTCCCTCTGTCTTCCAGGAAGGCGGGCGACACTCCCATCAGATCTGTCCTCTGTGTCTGTGCGTTGGGGCCACGGTAGTGGGTGCATCTGTGGGCACCCACTGTGTGTGCCTGGAAGATGTGGCTTCTAAACCTGGGTACCAGGGGCTGCCCCTCATGGAGGATACAGGTGACATTCTAGAAAGAGGGCCACCGGGAGAGACAACACAGGCCAAGGGACAGGAAGAGAAAGCCACAGGCCGCAGCACGGTGTCCAGCAGGGGGTCACGGGCACAAGTCCAGGCTGAGCGTCCCTGGTCAGAGATCCACGGGGCTCTGAAGTCTGAAACTTGCAAGAGCTTGATGCCACATACCTGGCCTCTTGGGATGGTCACAGTGAAAATGCAGGTACGCCAGAAATATCGTGCAAAGTCATCTTCAGGCCGCGCGTCTAAGCAGTATGCGGCACAGAGGAATCCGCAGCTGGACTAGGGCCTCCTAGGATGCCTCATCCTACAGATGTGGATTTTCTAAAATTCAAACAAGTCTGAAATCTAAGCCTCTTCCAGGTCCAAGCATCTGGGGCAAGGGACACTCACCCTGTGATGCATTCATCGGTGGTTGTCAGATGTGACCCAGGGACCGGCACATCGTGGGGGACTGTCAGAAAGGCAGTTCCCGGCTCTTCCTCAGCCTGCTGAGCCGGAGCTCAGGGTGGGGCCGTCCACCTGTCTCCACAGCCCCCAGGGCTTCTGGGGCAGCCAGTGTTTGTGAATGGAAGTGAGGGTGAGGCCCGAGACCAGACGGGCGCTTTGAAGGCCCAGGTGGGAAGTGACCCCGGGACTGCCACTCCCCTGCTGCTGGAAGGGGGCAGGTCATTCTGGTCGCTCAAGGAAACCTTTCGGATGTGGCAAAGCAGGCTCATGCCTTGTCAGTAGACCTCGGAGGAGGCAGCTGAGACTGGGGGACATTTCAGCCAGAGCCCCAGGGAGGGTGGCAGAGGCAGTGTTAGAAACCAGACCTCTCTGATCTCGCAGCCTGATTTCTTTTCACTGCAGCGGCCCCTGGGCTCTGCCTTCCTGTGCTCCCCACTCCCTCCTCTGCCCTGCGGCCACCCAGAGCTTTGCCTTGCCTCCTGCAACCTGCTCTGCAAAGGCAGATGGGGGACACCATACAAGGGGACAAGGGGACAAGGGCGGGCAGGTGGTCACCATGCATGTTCCTCAGCCTGGGGAGCAGGTGCTGGTGTGAGGCGAGCTCAGGGTGTGCCGGGTGACACAGTGCCCGGCTCCTGTTGAGGCCTCTGTGTGCCCAGCCCTGGGCTGGGCGCTCTGGGGGAAACCGAGGCAAGGCGCGTGCAGCCTCTGCCCTCGTGCAGCTCGGGCTCCAGAGCCAGGGAGACAGCCAACCGCAAAATGGGCTTAAGGCCCGTTGCCCCGGGTGGACGGGGCTCGCCCACACCGTTGGCATCGCTCACCGAGGTCCTGTCCTCTGCTCTTTCTGGCAGATGATGCAGTTCGCCTGGGCCAACTACCGGCGCTACGCCATGGGCAAGAACGAGCTCCGGCCGCTCAGCAAGGACGGCTACCAGGGCCACATATTCGGTGAGTCGCTGGGGCACCTGGACGTCGCCGGGGAGGCTGGCCACGCGGGGGGGGGTGCTGAGTCGCACCTGGGGCTCTGTTTCCGCCTGCCGAGGGGAGTCCTGTTCCCTGGGAGCTGCCCCTGCTTCCCGGACTTGGGGAGCCCTGCGCCTCTCCAGCGTGTGGATTTCTGGGTGCAGTGACCACTTGGTCTTTAAAGCAAAGAAACTTGGAGTTGTGATGGGGAGGGGAGGGCTGGAGACCTGGTGCCCAGGAGAAGGCTTGGTGACTGCTTCCCCGGAAGGTGGCTGTGGGATGGTGCGGGAGCCGTCCTGGGAGGCTGCACAGGCTCCCATGGGCTGGGGACCAGGCTGCCTTGAGGGTCTCCGTGCCCGTGTCTCTGGGACGCTCCAGGTGGACCCTGGAGTCGGGGCAGCTCGCGTTTTGCCTGCAGCTTTGCAGTCCCCTGGCTTCACCCCGGGCCAGCCGCAGGCCCAGAGCCCTGTATGTCCCTCCCTGATCCCACAGAGGCTGCAGGGGCTTATTATGTGCCCAGCCTCACATGTCAACTCTAGCACCCACCCCCGGTGCCAGCCCCCCTCTGCAGCCATTCCTGCCCAACGATGCTGCGACAGCCGGGCCACCCCCTTCCCTGGGACATGGGTGGTGCTGCCCTGGAGAGAGGAAGCCCACTCCCCCTATCCCTCATCCCAAAAGGTTCCTGGAATCTGGAACCAAAAAACCAAGATGGAAATTCCCAGGAAAACCTAAGGGCAGATTTACAAGGGACAGCCCCACAGGCATGGCCCTGTCCCAGGTGTTGGCGTCATGGGAAAGGGGACAGGGACCCTCCTTCTCCTAGACCAGTCGGCCTCGGAACCTGGCTGGCGGTGCAGATGAGTTCCTCCTTTGGGTGTGGGCCATGGACTTGAGTAGCGGGTGTGTATTTATTTTTCTGATTATCCTAGGAATGTCAGGAGGAGGGGGAAATGTCAAAAAGATAAGGCAGGAAAAAAAATGGTTCCTGGATGTACCTGTGGCTCTTGGCACCTGGGCTCCTCCCCTCCCCTCTCTCCTTCTGTGTGCTCCCCCCCCCCTACTATTCTATGACTTTTTTTTTTTTTTGGTTTAATGTTACATCGTGAGTGTTTTCCTAGGTCCTATAAATTTTTCCTTTTTAATGGCTCCAGTGATTGTGTGGGCCATCATCACTTAACCGTCCCCCTGATGTTAGACAAAGGTTTTGCTATTAGAAATAATGCATGTGGTAACATTTGTGCATAAGATTTTGTCTGAGAACAGATTCTTAGAGAGGAATTCCCAGGTCAGATGGAGGAAGGGAGATGCTCCCTTAGCCCTGAGCAGGAAGGTGGATCCCGGGTAGGGCTGGCTGCCCCCACCTGCCCAGGGCAGACCTTCCTGAGCACCCCACGGCAGCCCTGGGGAAGGCTGTGGATCTCATTGAAGCTGTTGGAGATTCTGCTACAGGAATAAACAGAAATGTGGTGGAGAAAGCATCCCCTCTCCTCTCTGAACAGTCTGCAGATATCCGGGGAGTTGTGGTCAGTGGGTAGGAGAGACTGCGGATTTCTGAAATCACTCAGTGTAGGCCCAGCGTTTGCTCAAACCACCACGGGAAACACTTCTGGGAGGGATTGGGCTGAACCCAGCCTCATTGTGTATCGTTTCTCATGGCTTGGGATTGAGTCTCAACCCTCCAGCCCCTTGTCAGTCACCAAACCTGGAAGAGCTGCATTTAAAGGTGGAAAGAACCCAGGCTTTTGAGTCTGTTTACAAATTCTTACGCTGTCCTTAGCTGTGTGACCAAGTCCAAGTCACTTACCCTCTCTGGGCCCCTGTGGTTCATCCTTCATACTGGGCTGCTGTGAAGATGTTAGCGAGTGCATACGTGAACAGGCAGAGGCCCGTGTATATAAGAGTGACTTACGATTTCTGTTGCAGTGGCCCCAGTGAGCCCACTGTGAGTTCTGAGGTCCCTGGGGTGGCCTTAGCAAGGCCCTGGGAACCCATCACCCAGAGACAGGGAGTCTTCCCTCTGCAGCTAACAAGTGAGCCTCAGTGGGTGGCTGGCCCCTGAGAAAGGAGACCCCGGCACAGGCGGGGGAGCTGGTGTGGACTTTTTTCTCTCTCACCAAATGCTCACTAGGGGCCATGCCCAGGGCTGCCTCCTGGGGACACGGGGGCAAATGGCACAGCGAGCTCTCCACCAACTCTGCCAAGACACACAGGCACCACTCCCCAGGGCCTCCCTAGGGTCCGTCCCAGTGTTCTCAGAGACAGGGACACACATAACAGACAGGAAGCGTCCTCGTGGCTGAGGTTCTGTGTTTCTGGAGCCAGACAGACCTGGGCTCAAACTCAGGCTTCCCCACTTCTGGTTGTGTGGCCTGGGGCAGGTGGCTTCTCGGAGACTTCCACTTTTCGTAAAGGGAATGAAGCTGAAGGTGAAATCAGCCCCCACCCAGCCCAGGGTCTGCCTGACACGTCGACCCTGTTACTACGTGGTGGCTACCATGACTGTCACCTTGAATAGGTCCTAGGTACAGAGGCCCATGACAATACACCAAAGGCTTGATTCTAGGAGCCTGGGAGAGGTTCTAGTTGGGGTGGATCCAAGAGGGGCTTTGAAGCTGGGCTATCCCCAAAGAAACAAGTGGGTGGGCCAGGCGCCATGGTACTCACCCCTGTAGTCCCAGGGGCTCGGGAGGCTGAGGCAGGAGGATCTCGAGTTCAAAGCCAGCCTCAGCAATTTAGTGAGGCCCTAAGCAACTTTGGTGAGACCCTGTCTCTAAGTAAAACAAAAAAAGGGCTGGGGGCGTGGCTCAGTGGTTAACTGCCCCTAGTTCAATCCCTGATACCACACACACACAAAAAAAAAATTAAGCTGCGTGTCACCACCACGTCCTTCCTGGACTCCTGGGGCTGCATCACCCTGGACTCTGGCCTCACTGGAGGCTGAGCCCTGCAGACACAGGACACCAGGGGTGGTCAGGTGGTAGGCAGTGCCCATCTGTCCTGCCAGCCGAGACCCTGAGCAGGGTCCCTGTTGGCGCTCAGTTTGGACATGGACACCTGCAGGCTCGCTCTGAGGGCCAGTGGGGTGGGGGGACCTGCTGGGGGCTGGCTGGCGGGTTCATGCGGTGCCTTGAGATCTACAGGGTAGATGCCGGAGCCTCATCTCCCTGCGTGGCCCCTCCCCACACAGCCCCCTCTCCCGGATGCCTCCTGCCCTTCCTCAAACCTGCTCTTACTGTGGGAACCAGGCCTCCCAGCGGGGCGCCTCCCCAGCTCCCAGCCCGTGTTGGTGGCTTCCTTTTTTACCCACATCCAGCTCAGCAAGTCTCGTCTAAAAATGCCCCTAAGGCCCCAGTGGCCACCAGCAAAGAAGACCCAGCCTGCTTTTTGAAGGTGGCTCAGGCCAGGGCGGAACGCCCCTCCTTCCCACTCTGAGCACTGGCCGGATGGTCAGTGTCCAGCTGGGAACAAAGACCAGGGACTTCAGATCCTGCCGAGTGGCCTTGGAGCATACCTTGAGCCTCTCGAGAGAGGAGATGGGCAAAGGGCCAGGCCTAGAGCTGGGCGGTGGGTGCCTTTGTCACAGAGGTGCATTAGTAGCCTGAGCCGTGCAGGGGAGGGGCGTAGAGGAACTAGCCATAAGGTGGTAACTGCGCGCAGTGCCATAGAGAAAGTGGCCCAGCCTCGTCGCCTCTGAAAACCGGGCAGATGTGGATACCTGCTGCTAGGGCTGCAGAATACCAGGCAGTCTAGCTGGAGAGCTCAGCTGTGTGAGCTTGGGCCAGCCGCTTAACCTCTCTGGGTCTGTCTCCCCAACTAAAAGTGAATGATAGTAGTACCTCCTTCGCAGGATTGGTGGAGAGTGAAATGGGTCAACACTCCAAGTCTCCTCTCTGTGCCTGGCACATACAAGGCATTCTGCAAGTTTCAGCGGCCTGAGGAGGATGTAAGGCCCACCCACAGATCAGGGTCAACTCCCATTCTGACTGGGGACGTACCCAGGGTCCCTGGACCCAGGAACCCACATGAGGGTGGCGGGGCTGTTCCACCCTGATCCCTCCTGCCCTGTCCCTACAACTCTCCAGTGCTTGGGTGGGCAACCCCTGGGCAGGCGGTTCAAATCCTGTCTCTGCCATGTACCAGCCATGTGACCCTGGCCTGTTTCCTGACCTCCCTGCACCTCAGTTTCTCCATCTGTGCAATGGGGATGACCGTTGCGAAGATCAAACTCAGTTGACATGTGTCGATTGCTGGTACAGGATCTGTCCACATGCAGTCGTGACATACAAGCTGCTGTCGTTTGTTTTATTTGTTAAATAGAATAGTTATCACCCAAGGGAAAAGCCCTTGTGGGGCTCACCGCAGGCTCTCGGTCCGTCTTGCGGGTGGATGGGTTGCCCGCTGCAGCCTCTGCTGCCTGTTTCCCTGTGCCCCTCGTCCCAGCCTGGCTCCTGCGGCGTGTGCTCACCGTCCCCGTGACCTCCCGCCACAGAGTGCACTTAGAACCAGCAAACAGACCCTGTGGGAGTGACAGTCCTGCTTGGTCAGCAGATCTGACTCTCTTCTCCACGGAGGGTGGAGGTGCTTGCGTGGCCAAAAGCAAGGTCCCCCGCTCCGAGCCCGCCCCCGGCGACAGCGAGAGCCCCAAATTGGATTCCGCCTCTGATGGTGGATCCACTGATAGAACTGCCAACCCAGTCCCGTTCTGGGGATGATTTATGGCCTGGGGTGAGGTAAGGGACGCAGCATGATTTCCAGATCACGGGCGGGGAGTGTTCGGCCTCGGCAGCAGAAAAATCATCATGGCCTTGTAAACGGAACAAGCGTGATGTGAAGAGGGACGAAGTCCAGGCCCCAGGAGGTCATTTTGCAGTTGCATTTGGGGGATGTGACTTAGGAGTGCGTCTGCCGTCTGCCGGGTGGCCTCGCTCTCCCGCACACTCCCGCACACACCAGCCTCCCGGGGGCTCTCCGTGGGGGTGAGT